TGAAAGCTGTCTTACCATGTCATGAAGTGCATCATTGCAGTGCAAGTCTTTGTCTATGCCAGTCTTACAGAATAGTGCAGACACACAAACACAAGGACGTGAACTCTCCCTTCGTCATCTTACTGAAAAGGCGACAGCAGCCACAGAAAGCTTCAAAAAACACTTCACTTCTATGCTGTGCTGCTTCTCCTTCTCTTCTCAGTTTTACCAGAGAGTGGAATATTTGAAGGTCACAATATGTTTGAACATTTCCCAAGTCACCGTTATCTCACGGTGTAGGTAGGAAGCCTCCTACAGACATTTGGAGGGATGTGACAGCAAACACAAAGCGCAGGAAAAAAGTGGGACAACAGTAATCCCCCGTTTGAAATGAATGAGATTTAAGTGTCAAAAAAAAAAAAAAAAATCCATCATTCCTGCTTTTGATACCTCATAACAGACTCATCATATTGCATTTCATGGCAAATTTTATGATTCCTTGCCATAAAATCAGACTAGAGAGGTAGAAAGTGCTGTATAAAAATCATACTGTGATAGAGATATTGAATGAATAGCTGAGTCCGTATAAATATTACAAATATTAGCCACTGTGCTTACACCCATTTATCATGGGGAAATAAACATAATACCCTTCAGGTACATTTTAAGAGAAATGCACAGCCACAGCAAAGCACATGAATATAGTGCAAGAGATAAGAAACACTATTTGACACAGGTCCTCAAATAAACTTCAAATGAATGGTTTGACATTTTTTGGAAGGACACTTATTTTTCAGATTGAGACGAAGGTTGACTCTGCACTTGTGTCCGTACAGTAAATATCACAGCTGGCTGTGTAGCGTAGCTTAGCATAAAGATCAAAGACAGGAGGAAAGAGCTAGCCTGGCTCTGTCCAAAGGGAACAAAGTTTGCCGACTAGCACCTCTAACAAATTTGCTATAAGTGCAGTGACTTTTGAAGTCTTGTTGTCCAGCTAATAACTCTCCATAAAATCTTTTTTACACTTTGGTTTTTGTAGGAATTAAACAAACAACAAACAAACAAACAAGATACAATGTGTAGCTGTTTTTGTCTTTGTGCTAAAATAAGCTAACCGACTGCTAGTTGGTTAAGCAATACATCCACTAGAGGTCAGCTCAGAGTCAAAAGTTTCTGACAACAACAATCAAGCAACTATGAGAGGCATTAAATGCATCGCGAAACGGAGAAGAAGGGAAAAGGAAGGAAAAGCTTTAAAATTTCTTTCTCGCTCGAGCTATCGGCCACACTGCCCCATTATTTCCGTTGGTACCGCTCCAGTTAGCCTGTATCTGGAAGCACAAAATGTACGGACAGAGGATGAATAAATGAGGCCTTACTCTGCAAAAAAGCAAGTAAGTCTCAAAAAGTGTCAAACTATTCCTTTGGATGTCATGTATTTTGAGATAATAACCTTACATATTGATTTCCTTCACTCTTCTGTCTCCCAAGTGAACCTATTTAGAAACTTCAACTGATAATAACTGATTTTCTATCAGTTAATATACTTTCATTTAAAAGCGTCACATTCTCCATTTGCTTATTTTACTTGAAAGAACTGTTTTTACCTGTCTAATCTTTTACAAAGACATTGCACAGTGGATGCACTGTCTTCTGTCACATTTAATAACTTATGTTTCTTGACACGTAGCCTCTTGTGCACCACAGGCTGAGAATGTTTTAATGCTACAGTGTTTAGCAGAGACTAATGTAAATGAGTAAGTACATTTGCTGCACACATACTGCTTGTTTCATTTCATTCCTTCAAAGGCATTAAATGCTGATTTAACACACTCGGATCAGTGCTTGGTATCTGCAGATCCTCTTGATAAGATACTTGGATCAGTTCTGAAAAAAGGGAAGCTTAGCTATTAAAGCAAAAAGAAATATATATGGAAGATTTCCATTAAGGTTTCATTCTGTCTTCTCTGATATGTTAACTGTTCGTTTTTACAGCACGTGGTGACCGACACTTCATCCATGTTTAATGTGAAAAAAAACTCTCCAGGGGCCACATCCATCACGCAGAGCAACACTCTCACTTTCTCCTGCGCGCACACACACACGCACACACGCACACACACACACAGAGGATGGTATGGTATTTGTTGCAGGTCACACACAAGCGTTACTCCCTTCCACCGGAGATGATGGACATGATGGAAGTACAAATCGCTCGCTCCATGTTCTCTTCCTGTTGGTTTGAAGGTCACACATTCTCTCTGGGGACATGATAGATGTAAAACAGTCACATCTCTCTCACTGACTGTCATGTCAGCTGGCATTTCACACTCATATAGAGTTGATTTCACAAGCGCTGGCCCCCTCGGTGATAAATAATAATAAAAAAATAAAAAAATCAAACATTCTTTACTAGCACATATATAAAGTCAGCCTGTATTTCACATATAGATGGGAACTGGTTTATGAGAAGGTTTTACATGTCTGTGGCTGCTTCTCTATATGCATGAAGACAGGAGACACATATTAACACTCACGGAGTTTCTGGGCTACATAATAAAAGCTCTTTTTCTTGGAGCAAAGTAGATCAAGCGAGATGGTGTAACATCAGTTTGTTAATGGGCAACATCTTTATCTAATTGAATTTTTTTTCCAATCTAGTGCTGATTTACTTGCTGAAGTGAAATCTCATTATTTTCTGTTCAACTGAAAGCACAGAAGTCTTGATATACATCATGGTAATCTGTTGCCATTATATACTTGTCAAGACACTTGACATATCCCATTATTTGCTGCAAAAGAGGTTTTAAAAGTCATTTTCTTTCCAATGAATTGTATTTTGACAGCTGTACATTTGGCTTCTTCTTTGGCATTTTCACAATCCCTTTTTAATTTAATCTGATACATAAGATGACAAGGGTGGATGAAGGATATAAAAGACAAGATATTTTCATGTAAACGAAAACGTCTTTGCCAATAAATCAAAGGTTTTTGTCAGCAAGCCAACGATATCTGAAGTAAGGTTTAATATCCAGATACACACAAGCAACATATGTGGCTCACACATACCACAGCATATCCATAATCATATGGCAAGTCAGCTATAGCCCCGTCAGTAGGAGTGGTGATGTGAGTATTTGAGAATTGGAACCAGTCTAATCTGTTGGGCTCATGTGAGACCAGAAGCCAAGTCACATAGTCCTTCCTCCTCTTCGCAAGATGATGTAAGAGAGGAGAGGAGAGGACATGGAGGACAGTCAAAAGCTAGCACAAGTGGAGTGGAAAGGGGAGGGGGGGGAGGGGGGATGGGGTTTAGAGGATGAGGGGGGGGGTGGAGAGGAAATCAGAAAACTGGAGGTTTAGAAGGAGAATCATTTTGTCCACTCATACAGCACAGCAGAAACTACAGTCACAACTAAAATCATGATTGTCCTGGAAAAGCAGCCTGGGAAAACAATGTCAACAATGCCTGTCGATGGGAAATTCATCCATTACTGTATATTAGATGTTTCACTTCAGCTTTGGTACACAGCAGACTGTTCTTGTTAAATACAGTACACCTATAAAAACAACTAAACCATTATTTCTCTGTATAATCTGGGCAGTACAAGCACTTTTAATGCCTTAGTGTTTATGTGTTAGGTTTTCTGTTTTTTTGATGCCGTCTTGCTGCAAAATAATTTCCTCTTGTGGGACAATAAAGATCTGATATGAACTGACAGAGCATGTTATTTGGCAACATTATTTGGCTTTTTCAAACCAATATTTCAAGATCAGCATAAGCCAGATATAGCTATTTTTTAGCCCTTCAAGATAGCCCTGTTGGCTTTACAATGGCTAGACGTGCTGTCTGCAAAAAGGAAAATATAATAATGTGTCAGTAATAACAAACATGAATTTTTGCTGGCATTGCGAGCTAGTTATATTGTAGTTATATCCCTCTACCTGCGTAGTAGAGGACATCATTTCTTATGATTATGATGGTATTAACTTTGTCCAAAATAACCTTCACTCAGTTATGGTCACGGTGTATTCCTGAACGCTCCCTCATCTCGATCCCATCCAGTTCCTGACCTGATTTATCCCCTCTGTGCTCTCTTCATTCATTTAATCCCATGTACCAGGGTTTTGAAATAATGCTTTGTAGTCAGCCACAGAGGCAGACCGATCTGTTTCAGCCGGGTCAAAACAATGTTATCTGGAGGCGGAGGGGAGCTTGGATGAAAGCTGCACTGCTGCTGTCCTACACAGGAACAATTCACTGAGGACGCAAAGTGGCCTGAGCCACTGCAGGGATTAACTGGCAGAATGAAACCATGGGGCAGCGCCCCCCTAGTCGGTCACCATCACCACTGGCACTCTCACACAGAAGGACCAAGACAGACCATTTAAATCCCACCCACAGGTGCACCAGCAGCACAGACTATTTTCAAAATTAAACTGCAGCCATGGAATAAAGTGGTTGTCTCAAATCAAATAAACACTTATGAAATTAATTAAAACTAAATGTTAGGAAAATACAAAAATACAAATAGAAGGTTCAATCACCCACCATGAACTTAACCCTTGAGATGTGTGTGTCTGTGTGTGTGTATTTGTCTGTGGAAAAATCTTTGTCTCCACATGCCAGTGAGAAAGTAATTAAGTGAATCAGTCAGCAGGGGGGAAACAATGTGTGAAACAAAGTGACCGATCATTTAACAAAGCAATGAGCAATCATGCGAATTTGTCTGTAGTTATTCTGTTCGACCAAAACCTTGTATCTCAAAAAAAAAAAAAGGCCATTTTGATTTTGATTTTTAACTTGAGGAAGAGTAATGTCTCTGGCCAAATCAGCAGAATTGCTTTAATCACAACATGACACAACATTGCACAGAGACAGAAGGCTGCTCTGCAATCAAAGACGATGCAGAGGACAATAATTAAAAGATAAAAATAAACAGCTAAAGAATGGCAGCTACACAGAGGCCATGTGTGGCTGATTAAAAAAAAAAAAAAAAAAAGCAAGAGGATGAAGTTACCTGGGAGATCAGAGAGCGCTCCTCTCTCGATAATGTGCTTCCTGTATAAAGTCTTCAAAACCTTGGCGCTGCCGAATCTCTTGAAGCGACTCTTCACATTGTTATAGTACCATTCAAGGGACTGTGTCCTCAAAATCCTGTAGACAAACAACAAAGAAGGAAGAAAGAGGAATGATATTGAGTCATAAAGAACAGATGGCAAAGAAACTGGAAACTGGAATCAGATTTTATTATAATTACAACAGGATTATAACTTACAGTTCAAGCCAAGACTTCCATTAAAATCTGCTTAATTTGTGCGTCTTTTAATTATTAAAACATAAATAACCAAAACTTGAAAACTTTTTAAATCATTTTAAGAAATATTGAAGGCTTTCTTATGATAAGAGTCAGGCAGGACTGTGTTATTTTTAATAATAATAGGTTTGTGTTTGCTGTCACTGTCATACATAAGGATCTGTTCTTTGATATGAAGAAAATATTGGCTTTTTAAGGAGATTCAGAAGTGCCTCTCCCTCTTTGTGGAAGTTGTATTAAAGATATCATAAGTATTTACGTACAATACTATTATGCAGAATCCAGACAGTGTACTGTGTGTATTACTGCAGTGGATGCTTGGGTTTTCTAAAATGACGTCACATTAATTTTCCAGGCTTTTCCTCATTTCTTGATGTACGGGCCTGTCGGTGCTTGAATGCCAACCAGTCAGACCTCAGCATGGACCAGATAATTACATAAGCAGACATTCATAACAGAGAGGGTTATGAAAAGCCCTCAGAAAAGTGCTCCCTTTGCAACCGGTGTTGTGTCGGATTGCATGAAACTCTGCCAACTTTGTGTTTAATCTTGCAGTCAATCCCTTTGCTTTTTCATGCCACTGTCATACACAACAGTGAGCAGAAACAAACACAACAACACAAAGACAGATTTACTGTTTAAGGGAATCGCACAAACACACTGTATTCATTTACACACTATTTGTTTTCATTTTCCATTTATCATGTGCACATTTTTGCCTTTATTTCTTCTTGCTGTTTTTTTCTTGTTGTTGAAAGATGCTATACAAATACATTTCAACTCAAATGACATGACAAACCTTCAGTAAAACTAATGAGACGCTCACACAGGCATGTATATTTTTATATTCATACGCTTTATGTGCGCAACTTTAAGTAGAAGCAGTGTATTTGTAAGTGTTACCTATGTGTGTTTTCTCTGTGGATGTGTCAACATTTTATAGCTAAGTATAGCTCTCAGCATCCTGAAAGCCTGTGGCACCTACTGTGCATTAATCATTTATTAATCAGCCTCTGACAACTACTTTATTAGTGTATTAATTAATGTAATGAGTGGACTTACTGTTACTGTAAGTGAATTTCTTTGTGAGTTACCGACTTCTGTACGGTTTTTAACTCTGTTATTTTTGTATATAACTACGGATGAAGAAGTTTTATATAATCAAGTGAATATAATGCAATTGGTTAATTCTTTTAAATTTCTGTCTCTAATGAATATTTTTCTTATGGTCAACAAATCCCATGAAACTAACAAGTATTGGCAGTGTGGCTAAACCCTCATATTCCTTTCTTAAAAACACTCCAACAAGCCACACGGTTACACTGGGTGACATGTTCCTTCATTACAATGAACATGGGCACGTTTGTTTATTTTGAGTTATTCCAACATATGCCTTCTGCCATATATGTATTAATCCACGGCTGAAAATAGTTCCCAACAAATGTATTATGTGCGTCTATTTGAGTTATGTTTGCTAAAAACTACGGTGCCCAGCTGATTTAGGAAACTGCTTAGTCTTTTCCAAAAACAGAGTTATATATTTATGACCAGTTCTTCAGGCTTGAAGCTTTGAGAAGGAATGGATTAGCCTGACCCTGATAGCTGAGGCTGGAGACTTGAACTCTACATACGTAACAAATGTGTCGTCGAGTCCATCTCCCTGATTATGAAAGAGCAATGAGGAACTGAGAGAGTGCACACAGTACATGACAGAGTGTTTCAGAGTGTGTGTACATGTTGATGCCTCCGCTCAGTGAAGAGACAGGCCATTGAAGGAGAGGGTGAAAATAGCCATGCTAATAAAGGGGTCCTAAGTGTCCCTGAGGCGGCACGGGCTGCCACATCCCCCCCCCTCCCCCTTCTTAGTGGATTTATTATTCTCTGCCTCTATCTGCTGGGCTGCTCAATGGGCTTCACCTCCTTAATTTCATGCCACGGGTGAATCTAGTCATTCTAATGGTGGATGCTGAGCACCAGTGAGGAGCCCTGGCTCTTTTTTTTTTTATCTCCCTCTAGGCCCAAGGAAGAAGGCACAGAAATGAATCTCGAGGAGCAATGCAGCTCCGAGGAGGCATCATACAAGGAGGAAATACAAATAGGTTTCATCCGTACTCTGAAATGAGCTCAAACCACACGGAGCAACCTTTGAACTAAAAGACATATTGAAGAAAGTGTGCAGCAGGTATGGTGGAGATATTGTTATCCGTGTGGAATCATAATTGACTTTCAAATTAAACTGAGGCTGGGGCCGTGCATGCTGCTCAAGCAGTAGGGTTTAATTATATTTGATGATGCTGTAGAAAATAACGGTAAACATTTAACGCGATGTGTATGTATGCAAACCCAGCTGTGTTGTGGAACAGCCTGTACTGTCATTGATCTTGTAAAGCTACTACTGTACATCTTTCAGGATTTGCGGTGGAGATGAAAGTACCAGAACCACCGGCCCTCTGACTGGACTCTGGCTTTGTGATCGGACTGTGGTTGTCCAATCAGATTGAGCGGTAAAAACAGGGTCAATTGGTACTTCAGCACCACAGACAGTGTGGGAACTTTGAGCGCTGAGTTTTTCTGCTTTGTTTCTGTGTATACATGTTCACAAAAGCACTTCTTTCACAGCGTCTTTGTGTAATCCCAGCACTGACATCATTTGTTGAGAGATTTTACGCGCAGACAAAGGTTCATTTCCAACTACAACCTCTGGAAATATTTGTGAACATCATTTTACAAGCTCAAAATCCTACAAGTTGAGCTCATACATGCAGACGACCTTTTTGAGAAATCCAAAGTTACAGTTGCTAAACTATATTAATTGGAGAATTACTGTCTGGGAGTCATGGTCAATTGGTAAGCCTATTTATAGTATCTACAGTATACATCACATACACATTTTTTTCTTTTTTTTGTTATAAGCATGCATACATGTTTTGACTTCATGTAGCTCAGCTTCACAGTAGTGCAATGCTCTCAATCCACTCTGCTCATCAATCTAATTGGCACAAAAATAGATGATAAGTAAATACAAATTTCAGCGTCGGCCTCTGTTTCCTTGCATGCCAACTACACAAACTTGTTGAAATTAGCCAAGCTTTCCCTCTCAGAAATACAGAGAGAGAGAGAGAGAGAGAGAGAGAGAGAGAGGGATTTAGGACAGTGGGAGAGGCATCTCGATGAATGAAGCATGACATTGCTTCCCTAGAGTGATCTGATCTAAAAAAGAGAGGAAGAGGGGAGGAGAGTGGAGTGGATAAGCAGAGGCTTTCAAGCAAGAGCTGCACTGCTGCGTGAGCTTCTGCAAATACGCATTTCATAATGAGGTTGGGAGATTCCCTGATGCTTGGCTGCTGCATGAATAAGTGAGAGGGATTCCTGTGGATGGTCTCCTGACACTGGTTCTACTCTTCCTCCTTCATCTCCTCACTTGCCTTAGGTCAGCTCCGCATGCAGGCCTGGGAACCAGTGCCTCCCTTCTTACCCTCTCCTTTCCTCTTCTCTCCAGCCCTTTTGCCCTCTATACTTCAGAAAAACAATTTGCACATCTAAATGAGGTCTAAATAAAATATATAGAAGATTATGTCAAAGGAGTGCAATAAAAAGTATCTGACTTTGCTGAGTTTCCACCTCCCTTGGCAAAGGGAACTATTACCATAATTGACTTTCTGAGCCTTCTAATGAATTGGTTCAGCTTCTGTTGAAGCTGCTGTAGAGACGGGACAGAAGAGCAAAGGGAGAAGAACGAAGGGTGGGGGCTGACTATAACAGAACATCAAATAGACCCTATTCTCTTCTGAAGACTTGCAGAGTGACTGCTCTTGTTAATAGAAGAAAATAAGAAAAAAAAAATGAGATTGTTCTCAACTCCAGGGTTAGATCAAAGCGCCTGATGTCTGGGAAGTTAAAACCCTCGAGTTGTGACGTCTTAATGAGTGAAAATCTGGAGGAGTTGTATCTAGTTCTTGCTTTCTTTAAATTAACTCTAACATTGTGTACAACAGATAAAACCTTTCCAAGTTTTATGAAGGAAAACAGAGCAATGAAAAACTGAGGCGATACCAGCTGAAACCTAAAGAGGTTTAGTTGATACTTCTGTATGTTTTTATTTATTTAAAGTATTATTAGAGGAAGATAATTAGCTAAAACCATAATTCAGCTTAATTCAGCTTTCAAGCACCCAAAATGTACAAAAATATGGGTTCAGTGAATAATTTATTAACTGGATAAGGCCCTATACATATCACCCATGGCCACCAATGGGATGGCTCCACATAGTTTCACTCTACTCTTGGCAATATTCATTGAACACTAGCAGCTGCAATCTATCAAAACACAACCATCAAGGGCAAACAAATTAGTCTTTATGAGAGCAGATCATATGTTACTGTTCCATCAAGATCCCCAGTTATCCCTAGTTTTCCTCCGTCCAAGCACTGACTTAAAAAGTCAAGATCTACTATCATACCCTCTGCCATACCCTCTGCATGGATGGATGAGATGTAGCAATATAAATGCATACTAAACATAAATCAAAAATGTTTTTACAATACTTTATTAATTTGCCAATCCCTGAGGGAACAATGCATCTGTACTCTTACCCCCCTCCAAAGGGAGGCCAAAGGTCATGGCCAGGTACCAAGCTCTAACTAATTCAGTGTCTTGTTCAATGGAACTTAAACGGGGTGCAAGCTATGGTGTAGAATCATATTCGGCCCTACTCACTGAATGAAACTTTCCCTTTATCGCTATTCTACATCGTTTCCACAAATATGTTCTCAGCTGAAAACAGGCTAGTCGAAAAGTGGGGGGATATTAATATCGATTAATTGCTGTGATGAGGACTCTG